GCATACGATCAAAGTAATGACCTGCTAACTTTTTGAGGGTACAAAACTCACTTCAATCCAGTAGTGACATGTCTCAAAGTCTTCTTGCTCATCACGGCCAAGGCCGACAGTATTCTCAAGTCTCGTCCAATCAGACGAAGCTTTAATTGTATCGCCACACCCTGATGATGGCTAAAGCAAACACTTTTTGCACCAACTTTTTGCACCTATGCCGTTTGTATCTAATTCCTAGCTCACTCTCTCAGTGCACCGCTTTCCGGCATAACCACCGGGGCAGATGCATTTTTGGCAGTCTCGAGGATGAGGAAATCCACCCATTTCGCATTGGACCGATGTGGTTTTTTTGCAATTTTCTGGAATTGATAACCAAAAGTGCGATAAGAGAAGTGATGGCATTCATGTTGGTGGGAACTGGTTTCATTTGTTAATCATTGCCACTGTGCGTGTTAACGATGGTGGAGGCAGGTGAGATTGAGTAGCGCCACAAAGTGCGGCATGCGCACCGATGCCGAGGTTTCGCAGCGAACAACATGAACGGCATAATACCTACTGCAGCCATTTATAGAGAGTACCAAGCGTGAGGGAAGGCAAACAATTAAAATTTTTGCTCCATAGTTAGGTGTATGCCTGGTTGCGCTTGAGCTTGCCTGTAAAAGTAGTTTGGAACGGCATCTGGTAATCAATTTGGCGCACTTTCGAGTGACGAAAGTGGTGGAACACTTCTACAGCTGCGCACCTATTTAACATGCACTTGGCAAGGATTATGATCTTCAAATGTGAGCAAAAGGTATTTCACAGCTGGCTGTCAAACCTTTGCATCCGTAGTGTTCATTAAGCATTGAAAGCTCGATGAAAGAAATGAATGGAGACCCAAGCGTTTGCTGATAGTCGATATCGAAACGGAACCATTGTTGGCTTTTTTGTTGAACGATGCACTGAACAATAGTGAAGTCAACAACTAGCTATGATTACCAGCACTGCATATCCGATACCCAAAGCTTGTCGCGAATGGTGTTAGTGATTATATCATCGAAGTTATGAACTGAAACATTGGTTTGATTCCTTCCTTCCAAACATACCTAGTTCCACCGTAGTGCATAATGCTGCCGTAATCGTATGTCATGTTGTAGTTGTCGTTTGTTTTCGTTGTTTCTTTATTGAATTGACTTAGCCAGTCCACCTGAAAGTGTGATCGCTGTCCGTACAACTGCCATTTCGTCGGAATTCTTCTTTTCGCTTGGATAGTCGACCGACAAATGATTAATTTTTTTAAGCTTACATAAGACTCCCTGTAGTATTGTATGCTGTTCGTATACTTGTCGTTTTTGTAGACTGTTGGAATTCTAGTGAGTTTGTAGTGCGGCTCCAAAAAGTGTTCGGAACATCCTTTCGTGATCGGTCATTCAAGTTCTCAAGGTAGTGTGCAAAAGCTGCAGAACACCTGACGCTTTCAGTATTGAAAAGAATTTGCTTCAGATCCCGTTGCACCACAATATAGTAATCTTCCACAATTTGCTACCTTCGAAAAATGTGAATTTTTCCATGCTGCTCAAGTCAACACAATTTGGGTCTATTCCTGTTACAGGCTTTCAGCGCGTCACTTCAAGAGCGTGTGATAGTATGAGCACGCATCGTCGCTCGCGATCGTCGATGTACTGATGCGGCATAATGCATTTCAATGTTCGAGACTGTGAACGGTCAGTGGTGTTCTGCCCAGAGCTCAAACATTTCATGCAAATTGAGAGCGCGTTGAAGGTGAGTCGAGGAATAACGTGGTCTTTCCAGAGTTAGTGAACCAGCGATCTGCTTTGGAAAAAGCAATGCGGAGCTAGCATGAACCGTTAGCAAGGCTGCTGGAGGATATGAATCTAATTAGTAATAATCAGCGTAAACTGGCTGTCTTGACAGGTGGCGTCAAAACCGATAGATGTGCGCTTTTCCACACTGAACGAATGTCGCCAAGATACCGCAGCAATGGGGTAGGTCACATTACTGAAACTTCACTAATACTGCAAGGTGCGGGTCCTGAATAAGG